CCCCTGGTGTTGTAGTCGTTGAGTACATGCAGAATTAGTTAGGAAACGTGATGCTTTCTGGTTGTGTTTGTCTTTGTGGATTATTTATTTATTTATTTATTGGATTTTATTTATTTATCTGTCAGAGAAAGAGAGAGAGAGCACAAGAAGGGGAACGGCAGGCAGGGGGAGAAGCAGGCTCTCTGCTGAGCAGGGAGCCCGATGCAGGACTCAACCCCAGGACCCTGGGATCATGACCTGAGCCGAAGGCATATGCTTAACCCACTGAGCCACCCAAGTGTCCCTGTGTTTGTGGACTTATTTTACAGGATTCAATTTAACTTGCAAAGAAAATGAGGTGAAGTGGTTTATTTTCCCCTTCAAAGGTGCAGGGGGTGTAAGTCCTTATTGTAAGTACACCACAGTCCATCTCCCTCTGCCCGATCCTGTTTTCTCCCCTTGCCCGGTGCAAATGGATCCCAAGATCACTTCCCAGTAAGCATCCTGCACACTTATCTTCATTTCAGGATTTACATCCCAGGGGAGCCCAACCTATCTCTTAGAGCTATGTATGTTTGTAAGTGTGCTATGGGTCACATAATATTGGAGAACCACTATGCCACCACCCACTTCTGTCGGCACTGCCTATAAAAAATACCTCTTTCTAATATATTCAGTTCTCTAGGTGATATGGTAACATATGTCTAGTGAGGATGTCTGAGGAGAAATGGGCCTCAACCTTGGCGAATGCATTGGCCTAATTGGGAGCTGAGAGACTGTGTGGAAACTGTGTATTTCTGCAGTAAGTAGAAACATACTGCTACCTGATGACAAGAAGCCTCTTTCTCTTTTCAGACCATGAAACCTTCCAATGCTATGGAATGAAGCATATCAGTCTCCCCCCGCCCACCTTCCCTTCCACCTCCCGTTCTGTGCCATCAGAAATTCCAACCTCTTTCCATTGCCTTGATCTTGGGGAAGAGTAGCCCCCTAGCTTCAGTGTCAAAAGGTATTTCTGGCTACGGGCAGCAGTGACCTGTTGTTTCAAATGACAGTTCAACTTTTCTCTCTTTTTTTTTTTAAGATTTTTTATTTACTTATTTTGACGGACAGAGACACAGCGAGAGAGGGAACACAGGCAGGGGGAGTGGGAGAGGGAGAAGCAGGCTTCCCGCCGAGCAGGGAGCCTGATGAGGGACTTGAACCCAGGACCCTGGGATCGTGACCTGAGCCGAAGGCAGACGCTTAACGACCGAGCCACCCAGGCGCCCCTTAACTTTTCTCTCTTGATGCACTGCTAAGAATCAACCTAGTCATAGTTGCAAAGGAACGAAGTATTTTTTTTAAATTTTATTATGTTATGTTAATCACCATACATTACATCATTAGTTTTTGATGTAATGATCCACGCTTCATTGTTTTCGTATAAGACTCAGTGCTCCATGCAGTACGTGCCCTCCTTAATACGCATCACCAAGCTAACCCATCCCCCCACCCCCCTCCCCTCTAGAACCCTCAGTTTGTTTCTCAGAGTCCATAGTCTCTCATGGTTCATCTCTCCCTCCGATTCCCCCCCCCTTCATTTTTCCCTTCCTTCTCCTAATGTCCTCCATGCTGTTCCTCATGTTCCACAAATAAGTGAAGGAACGAGGTATTCCTGCTTTTTTCTCAGGGAACTGAAGTCATGCCAATATCATCTAGGCTCACTCATCATCAGGAAGGTATAAATGTTGAAAGAAAATGCCAGTGTATTTTGTCATTTGTTCCACGTGTGGAGGAACAGTGGCTTAGTATAGTGACCCTGATCACAGAAGTATCCAAAGCCATTTAAAATAGAGGTAAATTAAGGTGCTCCATGACTGAAGAGCAGGGAGTTGTAAGGCCCATTTTGACATCAGGAACAGATAATACAATGCCCACAAATATTGAGGATGCTCAATACATATCTGTTGAGTGTAGAGTAGCTGCCAAGTTTTGAGGATAAAACCATCAACAAGATAGACATGGTCTTTTCTGTTCTTGGGGAACTTGGAGTCTGGTGGAAATAGGATGGTAATGGTACCTATTGCAAGGAGGGTGTATGAACCATCTGAGGCCCCTCCTTAGGTTAAGGCAGGCCGGCAATTTGGGGAGCACAGTAATTCTGCTACTCTACACTCAACAGATATGTATTGAGCATTGTATTATCTGTGGGTGGTTGCGAATATTGCTTTGTTGTTTACACCTCTTAATTGTTTTTCCTCTGGTTTTGTAGTCTTTGAGTACATGCAGAACTAATCAGAAGAGTGCTATTTTCTGGTTAAGTTTGTCTTTCTGATCTTATTTTGCAGGATGAGATTTAATATTCAAAGAAAATAAAGTGAAGTGGTATATTTTCCCTTCAAACAACACAGGGGCAAAAAAGACGCATGACGTACTAGCCAACATTTAATAAATTTAATAAATTAATAGGAAGTATCACAAAAACTTGGAATGGATAACATACAGGAACCACAAATAAGACAACACTTTGCAACCACTCACAAAAAGTACCATTTGACCAAGGAGAAGATTTACAGGAAATAATATAAGGCAGTCTGTTGCACGTGTCTTAAACAGATATACATGTATAATAGTACATCAAAATGATTTGTTCGACAGTAAATTCACCACGTTTACATTTATCACATGGACTTTTTTTTTTTTAAAACATTTACAAAAGTTTGTAGATTTAACATTGAACTGTAAGATTTATATCCAAATGAGTATATTTGTTTTATACCAAACTGCACAGAACAAATGAATAGCACACGATTTGAGAATAATTACTGTGTTGGGTACTATTAAGTACTACTACTTGGTGACATAAGAATTATTAACAAATGTGCTATAAGCTATTATCATTCAACTTATTGCTAGTGCTTTTGAAAATCTGTGGTTTATATTTTATTTCTTTGTAAAACATGTGCTATGAGCTTGCCCTGATAGTTAAGAAAAGAAATCAGATGTTTCCAGTTTTCTCTAATACTCACAGTACTTCAGATCTGAATGCGTAGTCATTTTAAGGACTGCTGAAGGGTTTCCTTCGGTCCGTTATATATCACCTACTCTGCCTTACGTTAATACAAATCAATGGATTCATGCGACATACATGGCATACATGCTCAATGCATGCTGTGTGTCTTCAGACATCTTTGTTTCAGTAAGAATGAGATCATCTCATTCAATTTCATATAATTGTTTTAACATGCAATTCAACAGAGCTAACAGGCAGGTAGACTTTACTTTCATGGTATTTGGGCATGCTCAAGCAATTGACTGACATTTGGCAGTGTTGCTAATCAAGTAGAGACTGTATGAGTTTCCTCAAGTACAGCAGCTCTCCCACTGCCCCTGTGGCAGACTGTTGGATTTATCTATGCTGTGTGTTGAGAACATAGACCAGGGGTTTTGTGAAATTCAGATTCTGCCTTCACCGATTTCGAGATATTGAGAAGCACACCCTAAGGTGTGTAAGTAACTGTCAGGCATAAGAAATAGCATCATGAATTCTTCGGAAATTGATCCACAGTTGTGGGAAATGGACACACGTGGAAATAGTGGAAACATTTGGATACTCGGCACACAGCATAGACTTCATGGTCTGACTTTAGCAATGCTTGAAAACCTTTCACGGTTAACAAACTAGTTAAATGGTACTGAATTCTTAAGCAGCAGGCCCACGAATGAAACAATGGCCAACACTTATTGTGACACAACACTGTATTTTAACAAAGATTTTAAACTTCTGGCACATAATTGCTGTACAATGAAGAGCTTGCCACTTTCACAAATTAGCTGCAGCCTTTTCCTGCACTAGAGAGTTTGGAAGGATCTGAAAATGAGATAAATTTTGTTTAAAATCCAAATGGAAACTCTATATTTCTGTTTTTCCCAGAGTTCAGTACAAGCTTGTTTTTAATTACTTTTTTTTTTTTTTCACATTCTAAGGGCCTAATTCTGTAGTCCTTAATCAAGTAAAACTTCCAAGGTTTTGATCATCTATGCTTCCAGCACAAGTTTTACTCAAAAATGGACTGCGAAATTGGGTCCTATAGATAGAGGTACCATAATTACGAAAATATTTTAATAAGGCTCAAAATGCTAATTTCACTTTGTGTGTAGCACACGAATTTCCAGGATCCTGAGATCAAAACCCAATTGATGTTGAATCCTGGATTGGGAAATAACTCTGGGATCTCGTTCCCCAGTTTAATCACAGAATTAGGTATTTACTAAGGACCAGAATGAAAACACTAATTCCAGTTTGCTTGTCGTTATAATCAGAATTTGAACATTGTCCTTAAGAAGTGAAAAGCTATTGGTGTATATATCTCGTATCATCCTTCCACTTCTGTAGTCCTGGTTAACCAGCTGCTATGTTAAAATACCACTACGTTTGGGGACGGACATTGCAGCAAAATACCAACACGACATTCTGACAATGTCAAATTTTGCCCCTATATGTGACAACGAGGCTAAGTTCTACCTTTGACTCACTAATGGGTGTGACAAGGTATCAGAAGGCAGAACCTATCTTTCTGTGTTTATGTGTGTAAATGAGCAGAGCAAGAATTTAAAGTGTATATTTACTGTTAACCTGGAAAAAGATCCCACTGAATTCGTTAATTTTGGTGTGGTTGAAATAACCACTGTCATGTGCATCATTCTGGTCTCCTGCAAATGCCACCTGAGATGAACATCAACATTTCCTTATGCAGAAAAGAAAGAGAGAGAGAGAGAGAACAAAAGAAAGAGGGAGAAGGAGGGAAGGAAAGAGGAAGGAAGGGAAAGCAGAAACATCGACATTTTATGCATCAAATAATCAAAATAAGTTATTCTCAATCTATTACAAACAGTAAATATAGAACCCTAAATCTCACTGTTGTGTGCATGATTGTAAAGTACAGGGTTGCAAAGCTATATACAAAACACTTTTTTATCAGACGACGATATTTACATTAGTTATAACCGCTGGAAGAATTCTAGGACCTTTCCCTACATTTGTAGCTTTACCATAGGAAAAGACTGCTGCTTGCACACTCCGAATTACACACTGCTGATCCTTTCACTAACCACGTTGGAGGGATTTACTGGTAGCTCCAAATTCTCCACTTGCATCTCTATACCGGGCTCGTCGTCATTAGCTTTCTTAATCACGGGCTCGTTGGTGTGCCGGTAAATGTTAACATTAAGCTCCCTCCCAGATAAAGCAGTAGCAGCGACTCTCGGGATCTGTCTCACGGGAGGCTTCTTTTCTGCCTTATAATTGCAGCGCAAATAGTTAGAGAAAGCCCTTCGGTAAATCTTGTTGAAAAGCGTATACACCAGAGGATTAATTCCTGAACAGACATAGCCAATCCAAACAAACACATTCAGAAGCTTTTCCATGAGCTTTTGGTTACAGGCCTTCCCACACAGAACCGACAGAATATTGGTAATGAAAAACGGGCACCACATGACCAGAAACACAAAGAAAACAATGCCAAGGACTTTCGACGCTTTCCGTTCGTTGTTGATAGCTTGCATGGTGCCCCTCGGACGTCGCTCTTTCTTCTTTCTTCTGCGTGGGTTCGTGTCTTGGTTAGGGTTGGCAGAGTTCTCTTCCTCGGCCGTGTTCCTCTTGCAGCACTTCAGAAAGTCCAGGCTTATTCCAGGCGGTTCCTCGATGTGGCCGTGCAGTAACATCAGAGCTTGACGGTGAAGAACGTGGATCGTCAGGCAATACGTTATCACCATGATCGTCAACGGTATGAAGAAAGCGACGAAGGACCCAATGAGAACAAAATTTGGGTCATTCAGCACGCACGTGGTGTTGTTGACGAACACCTTCTCTTCGTCTCTCAGTCCGATCACTGGGATGGGAACGGACACACCTAAAGGGACAAAAACAACAAAAGGTAGGATATCGTTACAGCGCACTGAAGGCCTGAATAGGTTTGTGCAGTGGCATACATTCAATTGCATTTTACTGAAGAAAATTCAGAACTGGCATTTGTTGAAAGCTATTCATGGCATAAGCTGATAGTCACAGGAAAGAGTAGAAGTGTGACCTCAGAAAAATGACAATTTCTTTCAGGCTAGGAATGCCTTCTCCCCAAAGTTCTGTAGAAGGGGAGGAATTCCCATTACTCCTCGTGTGTAAGAGTGGACTGTGTGTGTGCTTTGTTTCATTTCCGGATCCTGGAACTGCCCTGGCTCACAGGGGGCACTCAGTAAATAACTGTTGGATGAATGAATACATTACAGCTACACTCAATGGCATTCATAAATTCACTGGTTCATTTTTTTAGCATTCATCTTCCACATGCAATAAAAATGATGTGTATACCACCTGTAAGAGAAATCATGCCATATCAGGGTTGGCTGGGCTGAGTTTGAGATGAATTTTTAGCTGACAGCGTCCCCTTCTACTCCCTCCTCTCCTGAGGAAAGAGGCTAAGAGGAGGAAATTTTATGTGTGAGTCCTATGGCGCCAGAGCCCCGGAGCTCTGGTTACTAGAGATGGAGAGGACAGTAGGGTCCTCAGTGGTGCTGCAGGGACTAGATCGGAGCACTATGCAGAAATAATCATCTATATGCAGAAACTGAGAGGACTCTCTTTTTAGCAAGAGTCTTTTGTGAGTCGCTGGGCCTAAGAGACATCATTTCAAGGGCAAGAGACAGAGTAAAATACAGAGTTGGGAGAGATGCAGTATCCCCATTTCTGTGTGGAATTTCAAGCATTTTTAAAATGTTTTTAGAAAGAGTTTATTTATTTATTTATTTGAGAGAGAGAGAGAGAAACAGCATGAGAGGGGAGAGGGTCAGAGGGAGAAGCAGATTCCCCGATGAGCCCTGAGCCCGATGTGGGACTCGATCCCAGGACTCCGGGATTATGATCTGAGCCTAAGGCAGTCGCTTAACTGACTGAGCCACCCAGGTGCCCACATTTTTTGTTTTTTAAGAATACTGAGAGGTAGTCCTTGGAGGCATGCACCTCCATTCATAAATAAGCTCACTGGTAGAAAATAGCAATGAGGAGGTGGGAGTGGAAGGGGATCTTGTGCCTCAGTCTAAGTGAGAAACCGGGACATTTGCAGAAATCTCTCTGGGAGATCTTGAAGAGATCTGGCATTGATAGGATAACTTGCAAGTAAAGTCCAAATTTCAGTGTTAATTTATTCTCCCTTGTGTCCCCAGGAAGTTGAAGCCTGGGAAAAGTCAGATTGCACTTTTAGGAATCTATCAGAGATTATTATTAGGAATCCTGGGCTGGCGGATAGTCACCCTATGAGCTGTGAGTGGAGAGAGCAGTGCACCCTCAGAGATTATGGCTGGCTTTAGGGGACACATGGAGAACTGGGACAGATCTGAAACTGAAAATCCCTTCTTGCAGTCAGCCTCAATACCCTATGTCAGGGAGAGAGTTTTGGCCGGGTGACCAATAGGGGACAATGGTCAGTGGCTCTTTGCTAGAGCCCACTGAAGGTGGTGATGGTATTTCCTCTCTGGGAAAGAGAGGAAGAGAGACTGTTTGGGAAGTGATCTGTAAGCCTTCTTCCCAAGACACTGAATTTCTGAAATGACTGATCTTTTTTCTAGAGAAAGAGACCAGGTGATGGTATGAGAAGCGGTAATAAATGTGACAAGGCTCCCTGGGAGTACTAGTACATGCCCACAGTTCTGAGCCGAGGAACGCCATTCGAGAAAGTCAAGGAGGCTGTAAAAAGCAGGAGACTCTGCATACAAAAGGTATCCTCAGGTAATGCTGTGAGGGATCTAGAGGAAGAGATTTTGAACTCTGGATGGGAAGAGTGATGCGTATCAGAAGGTAACTTTCACCAAGTTTGATGAAATGCATGGAGGAATTTCAACAGGCATTTGGGAGTACAAAGTACAACAGAACCCCACAGGTTACACTTTTTTTTTTTTTTTAAGACTTTATTTATTTGACAGAGAAAGAGAGAGTGAGAGAGCACACAAACAGGGAGAGCCACAGGGGGAGAAGGGGAGAAGGAGAAGCAGGCTCCCCACTGAACAGGGAGCCTGATGTGGGGTTTGATCCCAGGACCCCGGGATCATGACCTGAGCCAAAGGCTGATGCTTAACGACTGAGCCACCCAGGCCCCCCTACATTTCTTAAGTTACAAAAAGGCAGGTAAGAAGGCTGCCAGCTTGTAACATTAGAATCTTTATTCCAAAAGTCATAAATATAAGGGAGTCTTTAGAAAGCGTGTAGATTAGGCTTGCCTGAAAGAAGTCAGTATTGGCTTATCTTCAGTGAAATGTTTTAGTGAAGGGTTAGGCTGCAGGAAGTTTTCTGGAGTTAAGGAAGTGAATAGGGAATTAAGAAAAGAGGGAAGGGCTTCTTCAAAACGTAATTTACAAGAGAAAAAATTAGAGTGAGAACTTATAGGAGAGACTTAAAATACCTATCAAACAATTATAATATGTGGCCCTTCTTGGAATCTCGATGCCAACCAGCTTTGAAAAACATTCATGACACAGCAGGAAATTTTGAATAATGACTGGCTTTTTGACGATATTAAATAATTACCATTCATTAATTTTTAAGAGAGATGTTGATATTGTGGTTATGTAGAAAAAATAGCTCTTATATTTTTAGATATACATACTGAAATATTTATGGAGTATTATGATGACTGGAGTTTATTTCAAAATAATATGGGAGGGAGAAGTAAACAGAAGTATGAATGAAACAAGACAGTCCATAAATAGATAAATCTTAGGGCTGGATGATAAATACATGGGTCTTTATTATATAATTGTACCTACTTTTGTAATCTTTGAAAGCCTCCATAACAAAAGTTCAATACTATTTTAGAAGTGAAAAAGAAAAAAAGAAGACATAGAGGTCCTTTCTGAAGCAGGCAATGAAATCACTATTAGATCTCAGATCATAAAGTTCTCCAGGACTTACTGGCCACTGCTGACCTCGGAAGTGATTACTTTAGAGCAACAGACTTGGAGTTCTGAGTAGAAAGACTACCACTTTGACATAATTGTAGGAAAGAAGGCCATTTTCTGCCAAAGTGCTGGAAGAAAAACTCATACTTTCTCAGGATCCTATAGCAAGACCAGAGGGGGCTGTGGGGGAACTCCTCCCCTTCTGACCTCTCCCACCCTAGCAATGTGGGAAGTAGAGACTTGGTCTGGGGAAACTGCATTCACTCTGGAGGAATCCTGATAAGGATAGACAAACCTACACTCAGGAAACAAGTGCTGGAGTAGAGATTCAGTTCCCTAAAGGAAATGTTGCAAAATCTTCTAGAGCTACCTGAAGTCTCGTCTCTGGGGAAGACCTTACACACTGACCAGAAGAGCAGAGCCCATCTCTGCAGTAGGATTAGCTTGTTTCTGCTAAAAGATTTATTCACTTTCCTAAGGGACTCTGGGGCCTAAAATAGGCCTGTGTTAAAGGATAACAAAAGACTGACGCCAGATGAGCTGAAGCTGTTATTGGATATGTGAATCCAGTTTTATCTGTGGCACCTATTTGTATAATTTTATGTACATTGAGTAAAGAGTGATTCCAAAGCTGCCTTTTTGCTGAGTCTATCTTACATTCCAGGCACTGAGCCAGGCATATCACTGACATTATAGATGTAAACTGTATTATCTCAATTTGGTTAAAGACTCTGTAATACAGATTTTAGTAAAGTAGCTTAGCCCCTTTACCAAGTTTATGCCATTATTAATTTTCTTTTTCTTTTTTTTTTAAGAAACCATGAATGCAGTCAACAAAACAGGAAGAAACTCAAGATTTTTTGACAATATTTGGAAATTATAAATAATAGCAACAAGTGAAGCAGCATTCATAACGATATATATTGTAGGATTATCTTATTCAGTACTTAAAAAAAGTAAAGGTATGTGTCAGCAGTTCTCAAAGTGTAGTTCAAGGACCCTGGGGGGTCACTGAGACTGTATTAGAGGGTTTGCTAGATTTCCTTTTTCCAACTATTTGTCTTTAAAACTGTGTTTTCTTCATAAACTTCAACCCGAAGACCACATCACAAGTTGAATGCAGATACAGATATGAGAATTCAACTGTCTTTCCATAAAACTAAACATTGAAGAGATTTTCAAGATTGTAAAATGTGGTTTTCATAAAAATTTTATGTTAACCTTTAAAGGGTTCATTCTTGTTATTTAAAATGAAATGACTCATAAATAGTTAAAACATTTCTCAGTTTTAATTTCAAATACAACAAATATCAATAGGTATAATCCACATAACAAAAGCTTTTGGGGGTCTTCAATTATTTTGAAGAGTATAAAGGGGTCCTGATACCACTGAGTTTGAGAACTGCTCTTCTATGTTAATAGACAAAGTTATTTCAACCCTGGAGAGTTAAGTTCAGCAAATGAGGAAAGTCTTTCTCAGTATTTTAAATTTGTCAACCAGTAGAAATTCAGGTGATATAATGTCAGGTAAATATAAAACAACATCAATAATAGCAAAAAACTACATGCGCCATCTTATTCATTCTTATAAAAATTCTGAAAGGCACATGGTATTTGGTGAAATTAACTTCAGAAAAATTAAGTAATTTTAGTAAGTGTAATTGGAGCAGTCTTTGATATTTTTAAAACCTTTGAGTTGGCCAAGGAGAAAGAGTGAGAGTGAACTATCATAGAAAATACCAGGTACAAATAACAATTGCAGTACCGATAACTACCTTTTACTGAGTGCTTCCTATTTGTCATACATGGAGTCAAGTATTTTACGATTATTACATACTTTCACATATTATCTTACTCAATCCAGACAAAACATAGAGAGAAGGAATTATTAACTAGAATCACTTAATCTTTCTGAAATTAACTTCAATGAATCTTTATCAGTCTTCTTCAGAGTTTTAGAAACAAC